ACTGTGTGTGTGTGTGCCTCTGTTGTGTGCTAGAAAATTTACGGCGGTAAAGTAATGAATTATCGTCTTAGCGTTGCACGAGAGTTCAACACAGGCACTCTTATGAAGAATCATCTATCTTCTAAGGCTCGTGCCTTATGAGGTTGAGCCTTCCTGAGCTTATGTCTTATATGGTTTTGAAATGAACCAGCATCTTCCGAGACTCATAGCCTTTTGAGGTCTTTTATGTATCTGTGTCTTCCGAGGATTGTAGCCTTTTGAGATCTTTGATATATGAGTGTTGTTGTTTATTCATGGCTCTTAATTTTGACATAAAATGACACACTTGTAATTTTTTTTTTGCCTCTTGGAAGCCTCATCCATCTATAAATAGATGAGGGGTCTTAAGGGATGTATAGACCACCATAAAGAGAGAAAAATCTGATCAAGAAGATCAAGAGGAGGAAGAAGATTCAGCAAGAAGAGGAAGGAGTGGAGAGGCTTTAGAATTGAGGGAGAGGTCTTGTAGAGAGAGATCTTGGTGATTCCTCGATGTAATGAGCTTGTAATTCTTCCTTTGTGCTAGTAAATTTGGTAGCGATTCCCTCCGTGGATGTAGGTCTAAAGACCGAACCGCGTAAATTTTTTTGTGGTAAATCTTCTTGTGGTTGTGTTCTTGTGTTTTTGTTGCATCCTTTTCCTTTCCTGTTTTATTTTCTTGTTTATTACTTGTTGTTGTCTCTGTCTCCCTTGGTATTCAAGATCCGAAGGCCTAGGGAAGAGAACAGCGAAGGGCTTTGCACATCTTGCAAAGCATGGAGAAGTCTCTCTGGAAGGAGAAATATTCCTGTATAAGCTTGCAGGCGGATTTCCAGACAGAGAAGAGGATAAGCCACTGCAGCAAATTTCTTGGCATTCCCAACCGTAGCCTTTAAAGAAGTTTCAAGAAGGAATTTGATATTTTATTTTGCATTCCATTTCTTATTTCTTGGCATTCTTGACGGAGCAAGATTACAATAATTTGAAATCATAATCTTGCTGAAAAGATTTGTACAATACTATTAAATATCTTTTCTATCTAACTCAATCCATAAGGAGTTCTTCGCAACAGTGAGGTTGTAGGTGTTTGGCGGAGCGGATTTCACAACACTATGGTTTAATCTTGAGAAGAATATTATTGGTTCGAACAAGAATATTATTGGTTTGAACTTATTCTTTCACAAATGATTTTTAACTTTAGCTTAGGATGCAAATGAATTAAGCTTAGTTGAGCAGATGCTTGCTTGAGATTAAGCTTGTTAGCCAAAATTATATTTGAGCTAAAGCTCAAGTTGTGTATTTGCAGTAGTGTTCAAAATTTGTTCATTTAAACTTGTCTATTTGTGCTTGGTCTGAGATTAGTTTGTTAACTAAGTAAACGGGCCTTGTAGAGCATATTAAGGAGCAAAGCCCTCAAACCGCTTGTTAATTAACTAAACATGCTTCATCAAGTTTATTAATGAGCAACTTATTGTGCTTAAATTTTTTTTTTTTAAATGAATGAACTTTTGCATACACAAGCATAATTAAGTAGCTTGTGCTCATGAACAAAAACAATCATATATAAATTATGAAAAGCTCTTACATAATCACATATTAAATAAATTTATAGATGAGTTTTAAATGAGTATGTTAGTAAGACTCAATTAAGCTTTTTAATGAGCTTGTTCACGAGTTTTGGATGATATTATTCATCATCATAAAAAAGTTGAACAAGTTAATTGATCAATTGAGTGTTAATAAATTT